TTTAAAAAAAAATTTGCTTATGTTGCAATAAAAAATTTAATATTTTTATATATGCCTGCAAAAATATTTTTATTGCGAACTTTAAAGTAAAGTTCAAAGTTGAGTTATTTTTCCCCTGTATTCGCAAAAAAAAAATCTAGATGATTTTTCACAAAAAAAGTTAAAATTTTGAGAATGGTTACGTAAGCACGCATTACCAAGTTCACAGGTCAAAAAAAGCTGTAATAGTGAATTACGGTTTTAAAAAAAAATTAATACACTACCTGAAGTAATTATTTTCTATATTTTTGGATCTAAACAAAGAAAAATGTTGCTCTTTTATGAAGAGAAAGAAGATAAAAATTACTTAAAGTGGATGAAATTTTTTCAAACTTCACTGCTAACAAGTCAGTCAAATTAGTGCTAAATTATACTAATTGCTAATTAATAAATAATAAAAGATAGGAAAATTTTAACAAATAAACTTACCATCCAAATGGATGAAAACAATTAACACCGAAAGTTGTATCATTATATATTTTTGCTATGAAAGAATGAAGAAAATGTTTCAAATAATAACGGAAAGAAAATACTTTGTTTAAATATGTTGCTGGAGGACTTAATCTAGCTTACTTCAGTAAACACTGAAGTAGTGCTCTAAGTTTTCAGACCAATTCTCAAACGACTTGAAATTTTACTGAAAGAGTAGTTTATCTAAAACTGTATCATTTCTTTTCATAAAAATTATTATCTTAAAAATGGTATAGTGAGTAAGTGATATATTCCTTGCAAAATAATACTGCATTTTTTTGCATTTCTTGAATTTAATATCGACTGTATGTTTATGGGATTAATGAAAAGTAGCCATAGCTGTTCTTTTGCTAATCTGTGGTGTTTTGTTTTTCTATTGCTCTTATAGTAGTACCGTACTTTCGATGATTCACTTCTTTGCTTCAAGTAAACAGTTTTCATTAATACTTCTTCAGTAGAACAGAATCATCAACTTGACTGTACATAAACCCCCGAAAAACCTTACTCACCACTTGTGCAATCCCAACATTTTAGTCTGGAATACTTATTCACGCAAATTCAATCTCATATCCCGTATTTATTTCACATTTTCATCAATATAAAAATATATGAAAAACTCCAAAACTCTCGATACTCATTTTAAGTACAGGAAAACTATATGTTAAAGAGTCCCAAAGAATGAAATCAACCTATTAACAACGCTTTTATTTTTTCTAGACAATCTTCCTAAAATTCCAATTTAGTGACTAATTCTGTCAACGATACAGTCTTTTTCCGCTTTATCATGGATGGCATGATCCATCCAAAATTTTTAATTACGAACAAACAATAATAATAATAATATGAGCAGCGATCAGGCAATCAAGAAAGGCAATATCATAAGATATGAATAAAGCTTGGAAATATCAGCAAAAAATTAATAAAGTTATTTCAATATGAGTCTAAATTAAAGGTTAGCTTGATAAATTAATTATTTACAGTTTTACACAAAACTTTGCAAACTTAAAGACCAATTTATATTCAGTGAAGTCAAATTTAATTAAAATGACCAACTAAACCACCAAATTAATTCAATATTAAATCAAAATAATATTCTGCTAGATTCGATACTTAAAAAACGCATCGTTTTCTGATATATATCTGTAATATATTAAAAAAATTATAGTAAGAAAAAAGTTGAAAGAATCGGAAATATAATCTGAAAATTTTCCAATTTAAAATGATTATGTTAGAAAGGCGTAGATTAATTTTCTTAATTCCACACATCTGCGTAATATTTTTCATGGAAGAGTATCTGGATCAACGACTGGAATTCTTTGTTTTAAGCTTTCTAGAACCTTTTCACGCACTTCGTATGTACCAAGAGTGCTACTTGAGCCATTCAAATTAGCAAAGATTGCTTTTGGAACAAATGGGACTTGAGGGATTTTAGAGCTCAATATGATTTTTTCATCCTTGCAATCTAGAAATGTCATCAGAATTGAAATATATAAACAATGAATATACATTTGAAGTGTTTAAATTTACAAACTGATTAACAAAAATATTAGATTGTGATTAAAAAATGATAGTAAAATCATGAAAATAGGAAATGAAATAAAATATTCACCTCTGTCCACTTGCGTATCGTCAACTGTAATCAAAATATGATTATCATCAGGCGATGAACTACTTGCTGATGGGAAAGTATCTTTGCAATTAAATACAACAGGTAAAGACGATGAAAGTCGAAATGGAACTGAACGGCAAAACTGTTGCTAAAACACATATATCTAGAAAGATTACAAACAAACAGTAGCTAAAAATTAATTTATACCTCTACTTTCGTAAGCTCCACTTCAGCAGCTGGAGATTTAGCCACAAATTCAAAAGAGTCGTCCAATGAGTTTTCCATCTCATCCACGTCTGACTGGCTCCTCGAACTAATAAGGAACTTAATAGTGACAAGATTACTTTCTTCAGTAAAATTTTTCCAATTCAGTCATGTTTCGTACTCTTTAATTCGAGTTGTAACCTAATTACAGATAAAACCATCTTTGTATATATGAAAATTACACATAAAACTATCTTCGTCTGCTTTTTCACAAATCTATTCTCTTTTCAACAACCAAAGAAAAAGGAAACGATATGGTAAAAGACATTAAAAGAAAAAGCAACCCTTTGTGGCGACGTCGACAAGGTGAGAACAAAGCTCGATCTGTGCCACCACGACTCCGATCACGAGTTGTATTCACCAAAGGTAGACGTGATGAGTGGAAACTGCAAATAAGATAGTGTAAAATATGTGAAAAATATGAGAGGGATTGTAACACTCGAAACAAGAACGCAAACAAATCACAAGAAGAGAAAAAACAAAAGGAATTCAATATAAGATCAGTGTAAGAAAAGATTTTAGAACTGAAGATATGTGAGCTGCGTGAAAAAAAAAGTGACTAAATATGAATGCACTTTGATCAATTTAAATTGATCAAACCAATAACTAAAATGCCTGAATAAGAATAAAAATCTTGGTTTGTTTGCTAAGTTTTTTTCGAAGAATCTACATAGTTCTCATATACGACGATGATCATAATCCTTTGTATATTGCTAATTTTAAATCGTCTTTTTTGAAAATGATTCCATATTATTCTAGATTCAAAAACGCTCAAAGAAACCTGCCACCAACAACTTTCCGCCTCAATTTCTTTAGCTCTTTAGTAGTTTTTAAACTTTTCTTGACAGCCGCAATTTCCATCTGCTCTTCAAGTTTCTTCTGATCTTGCACCAAACGACGATTGTGCTCTTCCTACAAATCATTTTATTTCGTTTGTGGAATTAAAATATTGCTCAGGTATCTACCCGAGATAATGAGTACCAAGTGAAGTATAGCTGTTTACCTTAGGCTCAAAAAATATAAATTTACTTTTTCTATCGCCTCAATCCTCTGCTGACTATCAGGTTCGATAGTATTAATTTGTTGACATATAGTCTCCATTGGCGCTGGATCTGGCTTGTGACAGCGTTTGTGATCAATCACGGACGTTACTGCAGCTAAACAAGCAGCGTATGGTTCAAGCTGCTTTGCAGCATTCAAAACATGATGGGCATTTTCTCTTAGTGTTATCATTTCTTCGATCTTAACACAGCAAAAATTTTACTGCAACGATAACTGCGCATCTAACGTATATACAATGGCAGATTTGAATATTTTAGCATAAATTTAAATTTTTTACAAGCACTGACAACTGAACATGATCACAACGCAGATAAGACCTTTATATATATATTAAATTTTTATAAAGAATTCAGAACAAAAATATGCTAGTTGGAATTCGTTATGAAAAATTAATCAAAACTTTAACATACATCTACCTTTTCTCTAAACAATGCTTGCTGTCTACGAACTCTATCCAACTGTTCTTGCCAGATTTGTTGCAACTGAGATTGCAGATCACTCACCATTGCAGAATGTTGACCAGCCCTAATATCTAAATCTTCACACCTAGAACAGTCAATCAGTCACTGACTAGAAACAAGGCTCATGCAAAATTCAAGAATATGAACACAAAAAAATTGAAAAATGAAGATAATACTTCACCTCCAAATAAGATCATTAACAGAATCTTTTCCAACAATACATCTTCGTAGAGTCAAATCTCGTTGTAGCTCTTGCACCTTTTTTCCAAGTTTAGCCATTTCGCACTTATGTAATTGAAGAGGGGTTTCAACTCGACTAAACTGCTCACCAAAAGCACCGTTGAGGTCCACTACCAACTGATATTTACTCAATAACAACTGGCATCCATTGACATAACTAGACCTGAAAGCAGAAACACAATCAAAACCATAAATAAGTTGCATTTTTTCAGTTTCATAACTAATTTTATCAACAAGAATTCATTCTTACCCTGAATGCCGAACAAAACCATTTCGAGGTGATGCTGTACCACAATTTCTGTCTGCCTCATTATTATTGCTTCTTCTAGTGCATAACAAGAGAGAGGACAGCCCTAGAAATGGCTCCAAAGCTTTGCTAAATTCTTCACGACTATCCACTGCTAAATCTCCGGTAAACTGCGGCTTATCGCATTGCATTGCCATTAAATTCTGAAGAAACTATAAATTGCATCGTTTCTTCCACAAATAAAGAAAAAAGTCATTTTAAACTGTAACCAAGTCTGCTCAATGGTAAGCATAAAATAAATGAGTCACCTGTATTCTCTTTAACAAATCTGTGTAAGACTGCAAAAAGTCAAGTTTCGAAGCAGATGAGCAAAAAATTGAAGCACTCAGGAGGTAAAGTCGTGTTGTAGGCTAAAAAAATATTGGCGACATACAAAGAACTCCATGTTAAAATTGTCATAAGACCAAATTCAGAATATTTTCAAAATGAAATGTTTACGTCCATAACCTGCAGAGAAGCAAGTTGTCTCATCTGCTTATGGAAATGCTTAATTCGTGTAGACATTTCTTCATCAAGTTTTTTCAACAGTCGATCTCGAACTGTCAATAGCGTGTCAGTCATTTCCTGGCACGTTTGTCGAATACTTAAAATTAAATAACTAACATGACGAGCTTAGTTCACGCTCAGGGTTTAAAACTTTGACCAATTCATCATTAAACATGAATGTCTATTAAATCTCTTAAGACCATTCTTTTTCCTTATTAAAAAAAGTTAAACTCAGTATAAAAACCTATCACAAGCCACACGATGACTTTCAGCAAGTTCGGAAGCCAACCGTTTTCTTAGTTGCAATTGCTCTCGAACATCGTCCTTAAAAATTAATAATATGCGGAGTAAATTACAAACTGTCAATTGTCTTTAGTAAAAACAAAATATCCCACTTGAAATGAGCGTAATTTGACAGTTGCTTTATCCAATTTCTCACATCCCATTTTATGGGCAGCGTCGATTTGAACAAGGTGATGTCTGAAATCGTTTAAAACTATACATATAACAAAAAATTTATTTTTTCATCAAATATCGTTTTCTAGATAAGCTATGCAATTTTTACAAGTCAAAAAGCATGCTGCATCTAGATAATACTAAAGTCACCTCGAATCAAAAGCAGCATTATTAAAGCACACAATGCAAGCAAGGCTACGATTCTCCATTGAATAAAGTATATAAGGCTCTCCATGTGCTGGACAACTCATACGCCCTTTGACTCGCGCTCGCTCTTCTAGTGGTACAACTCGATGAGCCGAAAACATCTTAGCCTGAAATGCTGTGGAAAAAATTACAATTACAAAGCTATCCCAATCAATTTAATCCTACCTTAATTTTTATCGATTAAAAAACCTAAAAAAATAATCTAGCAATTAAAAGTTATACTTTATTGACACTCGCTTTTCATAACAGCTTAAAATTATTGAAGGGAAATAAACTACGAAAACACAGACTAACCTGATGTGTGTTATGCCGACACTGATTACACAGAGCTTGCTGACACGTTTCACAGAAATGCATCGGCTGAGATATCTAAACTGAGAAGTTTAGGCTAGGATAAATTACTATTGAAATAATTTCGTTATTTCGATGGATTATGCAATTATTTAAATACTAAATTTCAATTTGATACAAAGGACTGAAATTATTGAAGAAATATTCCAAATTCTATCTTCACTTGATCACAGTTGGCACAAACATCAGCTGTTTCATGACTGGTATCAATTAGAAATGAGAGCAAATTATCCGGACATATTTCGCCATCAATTGCGGCGTTACAAACTGGACAAGTTTTATAATCCTGAATGCAATCGCGGCAATAACTGTGTTGACAAGGCAAACGAATAGGTGAAGAGAATTCCTAGAAAAAAATACGAAGAGCAATTATACACAAATATCAGCAACTTTAAATATCACATGGAAAACTTAATAAAAATCTTATTACAAATTAATCGAAATCAAATAAGTTTTATCTTGTCCTCTAAAAAACAGAAAATACTACTATAGTGCTACTTTACATACTCATCATTTTTCCATGAAATTTCAAACTGAATTCGTAGAATGCACTAGATTAAAAAGTGAACGAGAAATACCCGGTCGCATATGAGACACTCCAAAGGATTCCTTGATTCCACATTTTCCAACTTGAACATCAGCAACGACGACGAACACGCCATTCACGACCATTTCACGCACCAAAAAAGGATTTCAGATTTCACTCCGATTACCAGTACTATAATGACTATCAATGCAGAACCAACTGTATACAAAACGCTTCTCATCCATTAAAAAGCTGATTCCTCGCAATACTATGATGAAAAATTTGAAACTCTGGAACTTGTCATTCGGAACAACTCGTCTTCATTCTTCACCCATTTGTTTTTATCAGCAAAATAAAACCGCAATGAAAAAAAATTAACTAAAAGAACAGAATATAAATCGCACTAGATCAGATAAAGGGAAGAATCTGCACATGACTGTAGGAAACTAAAATATTTTTATTTTCGAAACGAAACATGAAACAATGATAGACCCTAAGTTATTTCGTCCAGAGATAAGTACTTTCATAGTTCAAAAGAAAAAGAAAATGAGACGAATCAATCCTTTTTGATATCGAACCCTTCATTTAAAATGCAAGCAAAAACAGAAACAATTCTTTCAATACGTCATAATACAATAACAACACCAAGAAAAGCAGTAGATCACATTTCTTATCCCGAATTTTTACCAAAATTATATAGTAAAACCATGGATGTAAAACTGTTCAAAACAAACAGTAATAAAATATGAATTTCTTAAATTTAACCGAACTGAAGAGGAACATATATGATACGAATAAATATGCTCAAAAGTTTTCACACTTAACCATAGTTTTATCTATAACAGTTGGCCGCACTTTTAATAACTTATTAAATAATAGGTACCCAAGAATATCTATGTTTTACAAATTCAAAAATAACCTATAGCTCTGCCAAAGTAGACTCGGCTTCAAACTGATGAATAAAAAAACTATACCTGGCTCAATGGATTTATTCTTTCAACCCAAAAATCCAATGGAAGCAAAATCAACACTAGTATAATAGAGAAACAAAAAACAGCACTAGAAATAATATAAAAATCATATTTCTAGCTTTTATGAGAGCTACTGATTCACAAAGACTTTAAACAGAGTTACCAATAAATTACTGGAAAAAGAAAAAAGGTAAAAAAAATAGTTATAGTGGCATTTGAAAATCGGTAATGCTACATACAGAACCAAGCAATTTCTACAAAATATTTTTCTCTTTAATTTACGAATACAAACATTAGTTTTGAAGCATACCTAACTTGAAAAGTATACAGGAAACACTTGACTTACTTCAGCAACTACAGTAGATGAGAGATGAGAAAACGGCATACATGAAATATTTAAAAGTGAACAATCTACACTGAAACAGAAGCAGCGTCAACTTGATCAGCATATTATCATTCATTTTTTAGCATGTTTAATTTCAGAATGGATTAATATTTAATCTTCTAGAACCATTACCAAAAAATACAGTAATTTGAAAAACACAAAATTAAAAAAAACCATAAGAGTGAAAGAAGGATGTAATTCATAACTCACGATCATGAAAAGCGAACAACTAGTTTAAAACTATACTGAAAATAAGAAATGACAGTACATTCAGTCAATCAGTTTCTTCGCTTTAAAATACCGACGAAGGTATAACACTTGCCAGATAGCCAAACCGAGAAGACATAACATGGAAAATATACTCAAGTACAGTACCCGACTATTCGTAGATTCTGAAGACTTTTTAATATAAGTACTAATGAAAGCATTAATGATATCACAGAGTATCCAATTTGATTTTATTCTTACACAACTTTAAAAAAACTCTCTGAACAAAAAATGTAAAAGAAAAACGTAATGGTACGGAAATAGTCTTTCAAATATTGAAAAGCTGTGAGAATCAAAAAACTTACCATTGGTAGATCTCATCTCTTCTTCTCTCTGCCGCATATAAGCGAAATCTTGTACAATCGAATCAGATAAATCCTCCAACCTTCAAATACTTGAACATAAATGAAACAATTACAATCAGAATCAGAACCAAAATTTAGTAGCGAATTTCCATGTCATGATGATAAGCGAAACTAAACACACAATGTATTTACCGTCTTAACTCAGCTTCCAAAGGTTTCAGTTGTTCAGCTTTAGCGATTGCACTATAATTTTTAGCATCAACTCCTTTTCTTATTTCCAAATAAACTTCGCGTTCAGCACCTTGACTATCTGAATAAAACTTTACTTAATCTCTTACATACCATACCAGAAAAAATTGTTCCTCACTCCACTTATTCATTTGAAAACTAAAAAAGGCCAGATTCTGCTAAGTACTAAAATTCTGACCTTATATTATAGTCATATATGCAAAAATGAGATATATTTCTACACTGAGTAGCAAATACGAGGAAATGAAACTAACTTGGAGGTAAATGTGTACTAAAACACATTTCAAAGATATCATATTCATCAGCTGTGAATGCAAATTTGCCACTAGTTTCTGTGAAACGTTCTCTTTGATAAAGTGTATGCCCATTGGTATCCGTCACATGAAAATAATTGAGGTACTCTCTACTACTAGTTTTAAGACCAAAGTTACATGCAAGTTAAATCATAATTTTATCGATTACTCGATATTAAATATTAGGTGGATAGTTTTAAGATTGAATAAACTATGTGATATGCAAAACTAGTTTAATTAGATAAGCTTTATGACAATAACTGGAATAACTACAATAAATTTTGATTCGTGTGACACAAATTTACAAACGACATGAGTAATAAAACAAGCTCTATTTAATGCATGACTTACGTGAACAGAGGTGATGTAGACTTCAGAATTAGGAAATTCATAGAAACCAGAAACTTCCTTATTCTTGTGTATTTCATCCTTCAAACATTTCTTACTATTCGGCGGAATATAAAACCGAATGCTTGTCGTATGTGAGATAAGCACAACGACAAAAAAAGAAATGACAACAATTAAATTTTCGCGCATTATACTAAAAACATAAAATGAATCAAAAACGAACGGTTCTGACAAAACCTTTAAGCTTCACGATAAATCATCGAAACGATAGTTTTCAAAAGTTTTCACGATGCAAATATCAAAATAACAATTTTTGATAATAATTCCTGATTAACACGCAGAACTCAATGTTACGTTAAAATTTCTTGATTAACGAAATGTATTTCTGATGCACATAATTCTTAAATAACGCGCACAACGTGAAACCTTTTCCCTACTTCAGCTACTTCTTCTAACTCTATAAGTCGTAACTTGACATTTCCTAACCTCACAATTTGTGCTTCAAGGAGCAACAATAAATACTTAAATACGTAAGCCAATAACTACGCACGGCAAATGCATCAGTTGCACTATGCAACTCCTTATCTCTTAAAATCAAGCCACCATAGCTTACGTGTACATTCTGCATACGTGTTGAGCAAGAGCTTTCATTCATGTGATTTTCAAGCAAGCTTTATGGGGAGAGACGTGAAATTTGCTTTTATTCTCAGTTTACCTCATTTTTTGTTATTGTGGTAATTTTCCAGACGAAGCCTTGGCATTCGTATCAAATGAATTTACCACCGAATGTAGAAAGACGTGAGCATGTTGTTATAGACCTGAGCGATGTGACTCCACATACTTCTGCCGATGATCGCGGATTTTTCGATTCAGCTCAGTACAGTAAAGGAAAAGGTTACTTTTACTGACCAATAGAGGTGTTTGAAGTAGTAGTTGACTGCTTTAAATGTAATCGATTAGGTTTCCTAGCAAAATTTTTTGTCTGTACTTTCAAAGACTTGAGTCATATTTGTTTTTTTCTATCTGTGTTATAAATGTTTTTATATTCCATCATGAATTTTAAGAATTCAGTTCATATTCAAAAAGACTGCTATGATATTCTGTTTCGCTAAAACTGGATTCAATACTTTTCAGGTTGTAATTTTTTCTAAAATTTCATACCCTAAATTGGATTTATTACCCCTCTAATTTTAGCTAGAAGGAAGTTTTCAAATCTTTGTTTCAGATTTTGATATTTCTGGTACACTTTCATCAAGAAATACTGGAAGCTCGTTCAGTGATCGAAAACTTATGCAAGGAAATTATGTAGCTACTTTTTTGTCAAATCATGGATTCGATTGGTTACTGGATGTAGAAGAAGATGGAATTGATTATTCAAAGTCTCTTTTGTAAGTATTAATTTCCAATTAGTTTTGTAATTAACAAAAAATAATTGCAGAAAATATATAACTTTGTATCAGTAAGATATTTAGAAATAAACGAGTAAGTGTTAAAATAGAATGTAAAACCGACTTAAATCACTATTTGTTATTCTTCGTTCGCACTATCGCTTATCATGCGCTCAACATCAAGCCTGTTCATCTGCTTTGTGCAACTTTTTAATGTTATTTTTAAAGATGATTTTTTAACTCATTTTATTTAGAAACATTGGAAATCTTTATTCTATTTTTTAAATCCGGAAAAATTATTCAGAACTAATTTTGGGAAACGATTGTTCATTGTGAAATAATATTAGGTTCGGGAAAAAGTATGATTTTTCCAAAAATTGATTGCTGGCAGCGAATGATATTTCTGCAGTAAGAATGATATTTCAGTGAAGAACTAGATATTGACTTAACGGATATTTTCTATAAAGTGCGCTGTGTATTACTTCCACTGCCATATTTTCGGTACAAAATAAATATTGTTCGTGATTCACCCGATTTTTGGGGACCGCTGATTGTTGTTTCAGCTTATGCTCTGCTCTCATTGTATGGACAGTTGGGAGTTAGTTTTTTTATTTCTTAGTAATAGTTGTAGTTTTGTGATTTGAATAGCATGGAAATATAGAGGAAAAAAGATGAAAATTCGAACTTCACTGCATTTGTGTGATTTATTAGAGTTATTTAAATTTTATTAGCAATACTTCAATACCTGTTCTGTATAATATCGGTTTTTTTATTTCTTATGTATTTGCTAAAATTTTTAGGTGCTTTCTTGGATTCTAATAATCTGGTTAGTTGGATCGTTTTTTGTATTTTTTTTGGCAAGAGCTCTGGGAGGAGAAGTTGGCTACGGTCAAGTATTAGGCATTGTTGGGTATTGTCTCATACCACTGGTCGTTATCGGCTTACTCATTTCACTTTTATCAAGGTTAATTATTTTATTAAAAAATGCCGATTAAAATTTGAAATTTTCTCTTTTTGGAAGCTTAAAAAAATAATGCTTTATTCAAAACTTAGCGAAATTACTATCTCTGAGCCGCATCTACTAGTTAAGTTTAATTCTGGTTCACCATTTCGAAATTTTCGTGGTTTAGTGCAGATGAAAGTTTAGCTTTCACCCCAACATGAAAGCTAATTTAATGTTGGGGAATAGATTCATATGAAAAACATTATCAGATATTTGCAGCTTCCCTTCAATCTCCATAGCTCTTGGTTGTTTTGGAATTCTTTGGTCAGTGTACAGTGCTGGTACACTTTTATGTGTTGATGAACTGCGTGAGAAAAAGTCTTTATTACTTTATCCGGTTTTTTTGTTATATGTGTACTTTTTTTCATTATACTCAGGGGTATGACGGAGTATACCATGACAATATCCTTGGAAAATTATGACTTTTTGAACAATGTTTTCTCTATCGAAGTTTTAAAATTATTTTATCACTGCCAAGTTATGATGCAATAACTGACGATTGCAAGTGGTCATTTTTATCTGAGAAAACGGTTTCTTGTTCTACTTCTTTTGACTAATCAAATAATTGAAGACCAGTGTAAAAAGATTTATTGTTTATAGTGATTCCTATTTGCCAATAATTTTTGCACAGTGTTAGGTCTTTCTACTTACAAAAATATATTAAAATAGCAAGTGCATTCAATTAGGTATCTTACTATTTTTTAAAATACTTTTTCTAGGTTTAAGATTGACTGAAATGCTCGAAATAATTGGTAAATTTTCTTTCTGCCACTATTAAATGAGATTTGTAGTCTGTAAAGCACGTTTTCTGCATTTATGCACTTACTATTGTAATTTCGGTTGGAACATAGTGTATAAAGTGTTTCATGTGAAAAAAGTTGTCGAAGTTGCCAGAATTCAGTAAATAATTGGAGAATATTATAGGTACATAGCTTTACTGTATAGAATCGGCTTGTTTCGTCATCCTTCAATTATTCTCTTTTTCCTCATTTTATCACTTTTGGAGAATCTGAATTTCATTTTGGCATGGATACATCATGAAACTTATGCGAACACAACGTAAGGTGCAAGGAGTTTTGCAACTTTTTGCATCTGAGATTGAAAGTATTGTAAGAGAAAAAATTGCGCCATAGTCAAAATCTTTGCTAGTGCAGCTTTGTGGCTAGCTTATTAGAATGGAGTAGTCGTCGGCGGTTGAATTTGTATATATAAGTAGCGGATCTCACGCCGTAACTACTTGTCAATGTAAAACGTATTATCTCTTTAAATTTCTTTTCTCATCTAAAATTTGCGATTTGATGGCATGTACCAAACTTTTAGTCTAGATTTTAACTATTATCGGTTGCATTGTTTTATATAAAAACTAATGCCAATATTTTACTGCTGACAATTGGTAAATTAGTGTTTTCAGGAATATAAAGATGTTAAAGTTCTTTTGTCCGACTCAAATATATTCATCAGAAATCTTAACAAATTAGCGAGAACGCCTGACTAAAGGAGTGTTGCATGCTTTCTTCGTGTTGTTTTTACAAACTGTGAGATGTGCAAACGAGCTCCCAAGTTCTTCTGAATAGCAAATATTTGAGTTGAATTAGCCGAAAGTTTGATCTAATTTAAATGTTACCCAATCTCTTCCAAATGTTCTTTCTGTGGAGAATTCTTCTGCAAATTACTTTGTTATTTTGGCTTGCAGAATC